AGGCTATTTGATATTGATTAAATCTTGTATCAAGTAATGGAAATTCTGAATCAATGGTTTTTTTCTCATTCTTATCTGTTGTTAAAACAGTTGTTGATTGAAAATAAATTTGCTTTGTCAGTAATTGTCTAGCTCGACATGAGCCAATAATTGACGTTGAAGGATATAGACGCTTTATCTAATCAAAGAAAACTTGCTTACAACTGCTAATCTTCTTTCATAAAAGAACGGTCGATGCTTACTGCTAACATAAAGCTTTCTTTTGCGTATTAAATTATATAAAAAAAGATTGCCGACTGAATCGATACGCATATCTATCTATATACATCTATATATATATGTTTATCAATTCAATAAAGCAGAGCAATTTACACATGACGCACACACCCCCTTCTTGATGGTTTTTTTTTCTTTTATGAATAGTCGCAATTGCGAAAGAACGAGAAAGATCGACAGTTTTTCCTGTGTACAGTCACGAAGAAAACTAGAAAACATAGTTTTTTATCCGTGACGTATCATCACAAAATTTTAATTCATAGTCAAAGTAGAAAGAATTATACTTAAAGCGTTATCTATCTATTGTTTGTTACAAAAAATTATTTTGTCTTGGTATCAACAACATGAATAAAATAATTTTAATGAATTAATTATAAAATATTTTAACATTCGTTCGAAACTATTTTACTATATTTACTATAGTTTGGTTATGTTTATTCAATAATACAAACAAAATTCGAAAATCTCTCAGTAATATTATAAAAAATTAATGGGTAAAAACGATAAAGATTGTTTATAGTTCGTGAGGTCAAGGACAAAGTGCATTACTAATATGCTATTCATTGTTTTCCTTTTACATATGGAAAATTAAATGACTTTATAGGTTTTTTTTGGACATAGAAATTTTCGATAATTAGTTAAAACTAGCAACACAACAATCTACCTTTACCGAGTAGAAATTCAAAAAAAAAATGTTGAGAATATTCAAACTTTATATTTGTAAGCAACTATATAGAACTATGGGGAATATTTTTAAAAATATGAACGAATGGTCATTAATTACAAAGAATTGTTTTTTTTCAAGTTAAAATTTACTTGTTAAAAATTAAACACTATAAGTTCTGAATCAAATTGTCAAAAAATTTGGATCAGAATTTGTATGGTTTAAAAGTTTATGTATTTTTGAAAAGATGAAAGAAAAGTGTTTATAGAGAATGATATGTTAAATATCTCAACATAGACTCAACAATCTAGTTCAGACTGGTAAAACAACACCATCATCTGACTCATGAGTCAAATTCAAGAGTTTCGATATTTTTCTCGGGGAACTACTTCGGTTTCATCAATGATCAACCCAATAATCTTCGCACTCCACTGCTAATCAACTACTGCATGATTGAGTCAACTGCTTATCGAATTACATACCCTCTAGTGAATTGTGAATCATAGGAAAGATTGGAACTTGAGACTAAGGGTTTAGTTTTTTCGACTCTATGAATAAATAAAAATACAAGCACTAATACACACAATCAACCATCTACAATAATTCCATGGAAAATGCCGTTTAATATTGTATATGTGTGATTTAAATATTGAATAACAACAGAAGGCAAAACATACGTATTGCAGATACCAATAAAATACAAATAATTTAAAAAAAAATATAGTCATATGCGACTTGAAGTGGAATATCTAATCTTGAAAATTTCATTGATGATAGGCTGTACTTCGGCTATTATTAATCAAATAATACTGTGAATGAGTATGATTTGTCCCTATTGTCCTCTATTAATGATGAAATAGAATCAATGTTTAGTATGAGTTCAACATTCTGCTCGCTTCCATCGATTCGTCTTTTTATAATTCTAGATAATATTAATATTTATCAAATATGAATATGTTTGATAAATTTAATCTGTGATACATAATCATCATTCAATCCATGAAGTTCTACAAAGACCAAGTATTGCATCAAATTCAACTCATAAAGATTGTCTAGATATGATTATTTATGCATTTGTAACTATTAATGATACTGTTTCGTATAATCTAAAGTAATTGAATATGAAAAAAACCGAGCTGATTATCAAGTACAATATAACTATTGATTTATATCTAACATATTTCTTTTGTCTATTATTCTTTCGTCGACTCTTATGAACAATTAGTTATAGTTCAACATTTATATTATTACACGCTCCCCTGTGCATAACTACATTAATATACCGAAATCTTTCCTTTACTATGCTTTGCCACTAACAGTACTATTTGCATCTTCAGTCATTATTGAATATGAATAATGCGTATTGTTCAAAATTATCTCGCTGTATCTTATTCTTATTAAGGGGGCACCCCCCTCAGAAACCAACTTTGTTATTTTTCGTCCGATTTCAACCAAATTTTGGGAGAATGTTAGTCTAGGCTAGGATAGATTATAGGTGAAATATCTCCCCCAAACCTCTAGTATACTAACGAGTTATAGTCAATTTATTGGTAAAAAGTACTCTATACGCGGGCAGGATTTTCACCAAGAGGGCTAGGAGCAAAGAGGCCGGGATGGTTTTAGGTTATGGAGTGGCTCTAGGGCTAGGTCGTGACAGAGTCCGATTTTTGAATTTTCCTTCTTTTGTTTTTCAAAAATCCTATTTTCAAAAATTTTTGGACTCATGACCAAAAAAATCACCGATCAGAATGAAAGATATATGGTTTTTATTTCAGCAAAAGAGAAGTTCAAAAATCTGGCTCTGTGATGACCTAGCTCTACCTGTCTACTATACAATAAAAAAAATATATCACTTCTATACCGAGTCGTTACGATGAAAAGCCTGCCAGCGTAAACGGCATGCTCGAAAAAGCTGGTTTTGAGAAAAACGAAAAACAAAATTTTTGATGGAGTTAACGTCTTTGTTCGAAATAAATCTGTTTATTAGTTTAATATTTCTGCACTATTCGTCAAGCTTTATTACTAGCGCGTATGTAGATATATCGTAATACGGTTAGAAGTACATACCGTGCCTAAACTATGATCATGGTTCCTTATACATAGATGTCACTTTAAGTCACGCATGTTTGTATGAATTTTTCGGTTAACTCAAAAGATTAAATTTTTATGGCATATGTAACTAGTCAAGGTCTTTTAGTTCTGAAAGTTTCAGCTCTATAGCTGGCAATAATGATGAAGTACATCGATTTATTTGAAATACATAATTTTCCTAACTTGTTTTTTTTGACTCATTTTCAGAAAAAGTTAGGTACGAGTATTTGTGTATCTCAACTTGACTGATATATTTTACCATTAGTGCTAGCTATACAGCTAAAACTTTTGGGATTAAAAGACCACGATTGGTTACACATGTCATAAAAATTTCAGCTCTGTCAGGTAAACAAAAGTATGAAAACTATCATTAACAGTATATCATCAGTTATTATGCAACACTCTTTATTACTCATTATCACATCTTCAGAAAAAACCTCCCTAGAAAAATACCCAATCTTCATGTTTCGCGGGAAAAAACTATGCTAGATTGTAGTCCGTTACAAGACCTATCAGAATATGTATAAATCCTAAAATCGAATTTTTTTCGAAAAATTGACTTTCCTGAGGGGGGTTCCCCTTAATTCATTATTGCGTATATTGAGTTCTTTATCGCCCCACAAACATTCATATTACGACTTTGAAATATTTTTCAATGTTAACGACTGTTGCCTGATCCACCGATCATGAAATGTGAAATATTACGAACAACTAAACAACGTCCAATTACAGACGAAAAATGACATCTTGATAAAGATATAATATGTCTTCATCGAAGAATCTTATTGTTCAATAGAAAATACTCAAACGAAACTTATAAGCATCATGTATTAAATCAAAACATTACTTATGCTAATTCAAAACAATATCTTAATAACCAACAGCATCATAATGTTGATATGTGTTCGTCAATATTTACCGCTGGCTTGCCATGTAAATAAAAACGATTCAGTGTTCTTTCCAAATATCATGAGTCATTTTGTTTGTGAATATTATAGTCCGAACGTGTCAAATCCTATTTCAGATCACCAGCGCTTCTAATGATCGGTACTCAGCATAGTAATACTCACTTAGGTGTCTTCTATATCGTCTCAAAATTTCTCAAAAGTAATATTGGTTAGCAAACAAGTAACACATTGTCTTCGACCAGTTTCGACTAGTTAATATTGTTGTTTTTTGATAGTAAACAACCGCTTCTCGTTTTATGAGGAAAGTTGCCTAATTGATAAATCATTTGTGAGTCGAAACTATGTGCATTGTGTGCACCTCACTGATTTTTGAATATTCTGAAAAGATTTTATGCCCTTCGCTTATTACTGTCAAGATGTTGTACTTTTATGATAGTTTTTGATGAATGTTGTGATCTCCTTCAGGAAGAATTATTTTTGAATTTCTACTTGAGACCTTTTACAGAGGTAGTTCTTACTGAGAACAGTTTATTCTGAAAGTTTCAAATCTTTTATTTTGCTATTATCCAGAACTAAGAACATCAAATTTATCATTATATGTATGAGCGATGGAAAAGAGATGTTTTACCATAAGTATATCTCAATGTGGGAACAATGACATGATCTGAAACATTTACAGGTAACTATTGTCATTATGAACTATCACTGTGCAAAGTTTCAAGTCGAAATTTGAAAGTCACTTTTCCAATGTTTCTGAAGAAGATCGTGATATTCATTTGAAACCTATCGTAAAAGTACAGCATATCAGTACTAATAAGCTAAGAACCAGAACTATTTGCACGGTGTTCATAGTTGATTTCGATCTACATACTGCATATAGTTTCGACTCAAAAGCAATTCATCACTTGGGGAAGTTATCTCGTTAGATAAAACAAAAGCGATATATCTTGCTTTTCATCATTTATCCCTCATATATATATATGAATAAAAATAATTATATCATTCGCTGAATTTGCTTTACTTTTTTTTTAATCAAAAAACGAAAAAACAAAACACAAAACTTAAAAATTGACTTGTTGTCGAAAATGATGTTGATGCATATTATTTCTTACACCAAGTTTCATATTCTGTTTTGCTTTCCATTGTTGCATATACTTAAGATCACGAACTTTTCGTTGAAATACTTCTCCTAAAAGATTCAAACATGTTGATTCTATTTCATTCTATATAATTAACAAACCTGTTGTTCCTGGACCAGACCAACCGAGTGCTCGATATTTATCTTTAATTCTATTGACAAGTTCCAATGATCTTTCATTATTTCGATTTGCTAAACTTTGACGATAATATCGAACGAGTGTTCGATGTCCAACTTTTTTACCAGATGGTAATACTAATTCATAACCAGTAGTATCAAGAATATCTTCATCGATTTCTTCATCAAGATTTTTTTCATTTGAATCTGGATGACTTGTTCTAGATATTCAATTCAAAAAGAAAGAAATAATTATTTTATTTTATTTGATAAAACTTACGAATAATCATAAAAATCTACGTATTCCCATGCTGAATTTGGATTTTCATCAAAAAGTATTTTACAATGACCTTTATCAATCATATGTCGTTGAACGGAAAGAACATCATGAAAAGATTTTTTATTACACCATAAACATACATGAAATATACCAATTTTTTCATCTATATATTAAAAAGAAAAATCAATCAGAAATTATTGGCAATTAAAATAAAATATATACCGAGATATTGAATTAAACCTGTTAAATCTTTAATATATTCAAAATCCGGTAAGAAGAAACTATGTGCATATGCCATATGACTTAGATTTTCTTCAAGATTGGATGATTTTAATGAGCAAAAGAGACATTCTTCTAAATGTAATGGTGTACCAAGTATTTGAGTTTCACCTTCCATTGCCGAAGCATCTAAATAATAATTTGTCATTCTTACATTTGTTTATTAAAATATTTCAATTACTGTAGAAAATAGGTCTTTTAAATAGAAGAATCAGTATTTTTAAAAGGAACTATCAGTACTTAGATTTATTGAATGTTTGTGAAGTTTCGAGATTATTTTTTTTCGAAGCCATACGTTATGAAAATATGATATTTTTTTTGTAAGCTTTATTTCAATACATCTCAATATAAATCAGTTTATCGTTGGATTATTTTTTAAAATATTATTGTATGACAAGGGTTATCATAGAAACTCGTCAGCATCAAATAATTTCTTAGAGGATCTATTCATTTTCTAGTGAATACATTCATAACATAGCAAGATCGATTTTTATTGATAATCGCTGTTCTAAAATTTTTACAACTAAATAGCAACACTGAAAGGCTCATAGTTAGAACGATGGTTTTTCATTTTATGCATCTAACTTTCGAATCACTATTTGGTTTCACTCTTTTTTTTACTTCTTAAGATTTCCTTTCGATTAATATGTCATAACAAAATCTTTATTATAGATTCGGCGACATCAGAAATCTCACAGGATCCGGCCGACCTAATTTGACATTGCGACGGACAGAGTCTTTGAAAAAAATCTGAAACTCTCAAAAGATGTTATGTGTTTCTACTAAATTGGTTTTCTTTCGAAAATCACAAATAAGGTTTAAAGCTGATAAGAGAAACATTATAGATATAAAATATGACTCGAAAACGGATATGTAACTAGTTTGTGAAGTTTAATGAATATAACATGTTAAACGGTTGAATTGAGTGTTAGATTTTTTACATGATCTACTTAGAAGATTTGAACTTTGAGAGCATGATGATTACTATTCTTGAAAATGAAATTCAAATTTCATAGTTATTTTCCAAAGATATTGTATTAATATCTACTCTATAAAAATTGACCATAAGGATGAGTACTTTAAAATCGATATCATACTCATCAAATTCGAGAAACGAATATATAGAAATTTTCAAACGTTATATAGATTTTTCTTTTCAGCTGTAGCATATTGTACGACCTTGCTTTTGGAAAATATCTGTTGAAAATGTATACGTACTAGTCATTGTTGCTCCATCATCCATATCATTCCAATCATCATCATTATCTTCTTCTTCTTCTTCCATATCTTCTTCTTTCGGTGTATCTTTTGATGTATCTACTGAAGACTTCTGATATTCATTTGGATTTTTCATCTAAAAATCAAATAGAATATTATTGAATTTCTTTCTTTCTTTTTACTTACTGGAAGAGTAGCATGTTTAGCAACAGTATCAATATGTTTTTTAGATTTAATATGATTTAGAAGACCATTTTCTGAAGTAAAAGCTTTACCACAATCTTTACATGTTAATCCTGTTCGATTATTAATATCAAAATTTTTTTCTGCACGTTGTTGTTGTTGTTGAATAGTTTCGACTTTTTCTGTAAATTCATTTGCTGTAATTGGACCAAGATCAGCTACTTTACGTTTGAGATTATATCGATGCCAATCAGTTTTATAATGTGCACGTTGTAATTCACCATTAACAAAAGCAACATGACATGTAATACATGTATATGGTGAGGATGAAGACATTTTCTAGAACTGTAAGAGTATAAGAAATCAGTTGTATGATTAAATACGAAAAGTTATTACGCAAGGTACCACCTAGTCTTTAATGATAGATGAATTTGAAGTACCAATCATAACTGAGCTTGACATTTTATTTTATTTTATTTTTTGTTCCGTTAAGTTTTTCTTTGTTATATTTATTTCAATCATTTATGGAAATTGATTATAAATATACGTATTGTATCGAAGATATGGAAGATTTATGAACATGTATATATGAATGGAAAGGTTTTTTTTTAAGTATAGAATTTATGTTTACTAGTGACCTCTTAGTGAACACCTATGCATTGAATTCAAAGAGATTTAAAGATTATAAAATAAAAACTTGGTATAAATATTAATACTTTCAGTTGAATTTTTCTATAAAAACTTAGTTTGAATACAAAAAATGATTTAAATTTTATTAATACATCAAATTAGAGTCTTACTGTTCTCATTTATACATTGATAATGGCAACAGTTATTGTGTTATTGATGTTTCTTTCAGACAGATTAGTACTCTTTTGATTATTCAATTTTATTTATCTATATATTATTCTTAAAATAAACCAACAAAACGAATCTCGAAGGAAATTTTCAAGTGCTTGTTTTCTCAATTTTTGACAACTATAGTTTGGATTTTAAATCTCAATCAGCAAATACAAGTTTCATTGAATAACAAAACTCATTTATCTTTAGCTTAGGTGAGTTTTATTGTTTCATTTTTGTTGCTTCAATAGATCTAATAATTAAAATATATGATTATAATTTTTTGTCAATGTAAGAAAAGTAATTCATTAATAATATTCAAATATGATTATGCATGAGATATTTAATAAAAAAAAAAAACTGTTGATATAAGACGAATTATGCAAATTGATTCTCTTTCAATGGTGGATCTAGATTTTAGTAATATTAAAACACTACGATAGATGAAAACACGATCATAATCAAAGTAGTTGTTTTTCTTTCAAATCCATTAGAAGTATTATCAGCTTATTTTTTGATTCTTTCTGTGAAGAAAAATCGAATGGAGAAAATGGTCAACTTGATCGCCGTTTTCGAAATTCATGATTGATCTTTTTTGTCTATTAATTCAACATATATTTAGCAGAGAAAAATGATTTTAAGCTCGAAGTTTAATCATATTAAAATTGAACGTTTTCTTGTCTTTTGTTTGTTATCGATTAATTTGGCACAATTTATTAGAATTAAAATAGTGTTTCATTTTCATTGATATTGATCGTGTTTGTTTTTATACATGTACATATAGATGTTTATCTTTTTTTGAAATGAAAATAATGTTTAAACGACACCGCATCTGTCATTATCCGGCATAAATCTCTGCTTGTTTCTTATCACTAAGCGACATATATTCTCAACTTTCTTATTCTTGCTCTTCTTTTTTTCTTTTTGTCCTTCTTCCTTTCTTGTTCACTCGTTAATTCATCTTCGAAATAGGGAGGGAACTGTGTGTCAAACTCGTCCCTCGCAGCATTATCGTTGTCGGGTATACATCGCTCTTCGACAAGACGAAAAAAAAAAGAAAACGACTAAGTATCACAGAAAAGATGACTGAGAATGTGAAGAGTGCCGGATAGAGACAGAGATAGAAACGCTAGAAGATTATTTTCATCACCTTCATTTATATTGAGAGGGCTTTTTTTTTCTTTTCTTTTCTCTGTTTTTTTTTTGTTCAATCGAAATAAAAAAATTAGTTGCGGTATTTGTCTTTGATGATCTCTTTTCCTTTGGGATAACGTTGGCAAAAAAAAAATGATCTGTCTTGCATCATGAACATCATTCTTTTCTTTATACTAGACAATAAGGTTTGCTTTTTATTCTATTGTTAAAGTAATAACAACGGACATTGGTCTTTTCCTCTATTCATCATTTGTTAGTAGTGCCTGTTATCAAGTGGATTCCTCTTTTCTGCATCTTCTTCTCCTTCTCTGTCTGATTTCTTTTCTTTTTTTTTGCTTCTACTAGTGCTTGCGGTAGAGAACAGACATAACTGCAAATGAAGAAGCGATAGATAAGGACGACGCCATATTGGTCCATGTCTGTATAAGTGTGTTTTTTAACGCACCCAAGCGCGCTTCTTGCTTTCTTTCTCTATCCTTTTCTTTAGCGTTCGTTGCTTGTTGTCGACGCGCCAAGTAATCATTACTTCCCCGTTCTCTCTCTCTCTCTTTCTCTCGTTGTCGGCTTGAATTCTCGGTTGCACCCGACACAGCAATAGTAGCTACCATTGCTCTTCTTTTCCTTTATTGTTGTTCTTCTTCTTTTTTTTTCAAAAAAAAAACGACTATAATTCGCATTACTAGAATTATGATTATAGAAAAGCAAGCGCAGTGTTAGCGGCGGCGAGGCCAGCCGTCGTCAATAGTACATGGTGAAAAGAATGGAACGCAAAGAAAATTATCATTAACAATAGAGCTGTTCATCAGCATCGCATCATCATTGTTGACTGACTGGTCCGAACCCCAGTACGACGTGTATTCGCTTTCTTTCCTTTTCTTCTCCTCTTCTTCTTCTTCTTCTTCTTCTTCTGCTTGTCTTTCTCTTGTTCGGAAAAAGATCTTTACACATACTGCCATCGCTCTTTTTCCTCTTCTTTTCTTTCTTTCTTCTTCACTCTATTGCTGCCACATACATGCAGACTTTTCCTCTCGGTTGCTGTTGCCAGTCGGGCAAGCTTTTCTTCTTTGCTGTTTCACCCCAACTCGTCCGCTCGCTCGTTCGCCCGAGCAGCAACAGCAAGTAATAGCGTCGTCGACACATCCTAGTTTTTCTTTTTTTTTTCTTGCTTCCCGGGTATTTTTTTGAAAACCTGAAAGAAACTAGTAATCGTGTGAATGTATGTGTGTGTTTATTATTTTGCCACATCTTAAAAGAGATTGCATAAATGATAAAATTTTAGACGAAATCTTATTTTCTATACAATGTATGTACGTAATAAACAGAAAATAACATATCAAGAACGACACAACAATCATCATCATTATCATCGTTATTTAAACTATAAAATCAATGATCACGTCTATTGTTCATTATCATTATTATCATTATCTTCTTGATGGTCATTTGTTATTTGTCTATTTTTTTATCGTACAACAAAACAGATCGAGTAAGACAAATATGAACAAAAATAAAATATAAAACGAACAAATAAACAATGGAGAAAAAGAAAAGAAAAGAGAACTTTTATTTTTGGTTTTTTTCTTTTTTCATGCTCGTTTATGTGTGTATGATGTTATTGCCTATGTTGCAGAGATTGGCAAGTCTTCTTCATTGTGTGCGTGTCGTTGTTGTCGTGTAGGAATAACATGTTGAGGAAGAGAAGAAATCGCGCGAGTGCGTCACTCGATTCGAACAGAGAAGAACACGCACGTACACTACTACTATTGCTGCCATCGATGACGATGATAGTGTTAGTATAGTACCGGTAATAGTGACAGTAAAAAAAAGCAATAGTAGATTGTATACATACATTGACTGTCACACAGTGTCGGCGTCATCATTCTCGTCTCGCAAGAAGGAACACGAGAGAGAACGAACAAGGACTATTGTGACGCACGCACGGCTAATATTACTGGTTAGATAACAACGAGAATTTTTTTTCTCGATTTGATGTATTTTCTTAGCCATGGTTGTACTGTGGGATATTGGTTTGATTGTATTGAGTATTACAAAGATTTTTGTTTTCTATCTATATGAAATTATTGAAGAAAAAAGTTTTCAAATAATTTTAAAAATTAAAAAGATTGGATTGATAGAATAGAAATTAAAGTACTTTTTTGTTTTCTTATTCAAAGGTTTATTCAACAATCTCAATTCGTAATTAAATCAATTTTTTTCTTTTCTTCGTTTTTTTTCCCGTTATTTTATTCCTTACCTTTTGAATCAATACTAAATCACAATGAATGATATTGAAAGCTTACGTCAAGAAGCCGAGTCGCTCAAAAATCAAATTCGTGTATGTATAAATTAATATTACTTTGAGTTTTGGCATTCAAATGGTTGTTGTTTTCTTCTATAAAGGATGCCCGAAAGGCTGCTTGTGATGCTACTCTATTACAAGTAGCACAAAATGTCGATCAAATTGGTCGTATACAAATGCGTACACGTCGAACACTCCGTGGTCATCTTGCCAAAATTTATGCTATGCATTGGGGATCTGATGCAAGGTTTGTATGAAATTTTTCACATTAATTATTCATTTGATGTTTCTCAACTTAGCACGTCCTCTAGAAATCTCGTGTCCGCTTCTCAAGATGGTAAACTTATTGTATGGGATTCCTATACTACTAATAAGGTATTGTTTCCGTTTGATAAAATATTGCATATATAATTTTTATTTTCAATTTAAGGTTCATGCTATTCCTCTTCGTTCATCATGGGTAATGACATGTGCTTATGCACCATCTGGAAATTTTGTTGCTTGTGGTGGTCTTGACAATATATGTTCAATTTATTCATTAAAAACACGTGAAGGAAGTGTACGTGTTAGCCGAGAATTACCCGGTCATACGGGATATTTATCATGCTGTCGTTTTCTTGATGACTCTCAAATAGTGACAAGTTCAGGAGATATGACATGGTTAGTATTAAAATATTCTTAGTTGTTTAATATTAATTTGTTTATTTAGTGCTTTGTGGGATATTGAAACTGGACAACAAACAACTAGTTTTCAAGGACATACAGGTGATGTTATGTCACTTTCATTATCACCCGATATGAAAACATTTGTTTCGGGTGCTTGCGATGCATCAGCCAAAGTAATTCGAATAATAAATTTATTTAAATCATAATTTCTGTTGTTTTTTCTTCTTAGCTTTGGGATATTCGAGAAGGCATGTGTAAACAAACATTTCCCGGCCATGAGTCGGATATCAATGCTGTGACCGTATGTTGTTGAAGATTTTTAGAAAAAAAAATCTATTGTTATAATATATATATATATAGTTCTTTCCAAATGGAT